ACATCATGATCGTGACTGTCTCTTTAGCTTAGGTGTAAGGTGTTCAAAGTTACTATTTTATTGTGTCGTAGATCTCCTTTTGAAAAATGCATTAAATTTTATTTAACTCTTTAACCTAATGAGTGATATTTGCCTTTTGGACTCTCTTCGGCGTAAGATTGCCGACATTGGGTTTAAGTTTTAGTAAATAGTTTAGGTGCTCCGTTACTTTAACATATAACCAACTTATTTTCCTTCGAAATCTCAATTCTCAACCAGTTTATGGGGTGACCTGAATAAAGCAGGCTATACCATATATATATAGGTCAAGACTGCTTAAGGAGGGTGAAGCACAATAACTCCTCTACTATAGATAGGGAGGATAGGGGAGGGTATGCACAGCGACCAGCGGTCTATTGTGCCCTCTGAGTCTTCGACGTTACTTTAATCCATCAGAAATCCATAAATCCTGAGACTAAAAGAGTTGATAGATTAATTGTGATTTCGTCCCGACTGAAGGAAACTCTAGATGTCTCAGTCTTCTTCCAATCTGGGCGTTTCATTTGTCAACTGCAAAAGAAATTCTGTCAGCGCTGTTAAGTTATTATTAAATAGTAATATGATTCAACTGCACTCCCCACATACTTTTTTGGCTGTTTCATTCCGTCACAGGTGTACAAGTACCTATCTCTTATTCTTATTTGACGCATCTGATAACCTTACCTGTGGTTTCATGTCTTGCCTTATTCGTGTTCGATTCCATGATATTTTTCCACCTAAGGTTGTACAGAGTTTGAAATAGTAATTAATTATCTTGGATATGTAATCTATATTGAAATTTGTACAATAAGAGGTCTATTTTTATTTTTACTCCATTTTTGGTTGATAAGATTTTTCCTTCCCCGTCACCATCGTTAATAGTGGTTTCATATGTAAAAGTACTATAAATTTTGTGGGTAGGTGCAAAATCAGGGCCTCAGCAACAATTCCCCTCTACTATACTTGAGACTCTATTAGGTAATGATTAATTTTTTTATGAATTCTATTGAAAACGGAATGGGGTTAACAGTGTTTCGACCGAATATACCGATAAGTTACAGACACTGGCATATGTAGATAAAATCTTCTTGTCATTATGACTGCATACAGTTTTAGTAAAATATTCGCTGTAGACAAGTTCTGATGAAAAACCCACTGTATATACTTCCGTAGAATTTTGGCAAATAGAGATATGTATATGGGACAACTTCTCTTCATCCCAATGGCGTGTTTTGCTATTCAATGAGTGCTGGCGCCTTTACTTGACTTTGTTAAGAGCTTAAATAAAATAATCGAGGAGGAAGTTTATCTACAAATTGAGAGGAGTTTCTATCACTCGTCACAAGGCAACCCGATTCAGCATCTCTTGTCGAACCTGTACTGAATAAGTAGATACTGCTACCCACCTACCAAACCATCCACCGACCTAAAATACTCCTTTCTCATCACAGACTTAAATAAAACCCACCTTATAGGTTTGTATTCTATTCGGCAAAGATTTGCTAAATCCAGTCTTAAGATTATTTTACTAAGACACGACTGTAATATTTTTAATTGTTTAAAAAAACACACGTCTGCCCCCACCAAACATCACCTCTCACGTTTTTTGTTTGTTTCAACGAAAAACCACATGAACAGATCCAAGTAATTATCTCTAAAGCAAACGAAACGAGAGCAAATGTTCTCTAATTTACACCTTTACTTGGCAAACACTTTCACCGATACATCAACGTACATTGTATTATTTGTTATTATTGTTTTTGTTGCTTTTAAAAGTGTTAAAAGTACGGAGCAATGCGCGTCTGCAAAGTTTCGGCATTTGTCTGTAAAAACAAGAGCAGGACAAATAAAGTTAATAAATAAATAGAACATTGAAAATAAGTAAAAGTAGTTTTGAAAAGCATTTGGAAACGAGAGGCAAACGAGGAAGAGAGAGAGAGTATTACCAGCAGGCTAATAGTGTGGATGAACTGCAATTGCCATATGCCACCCGTGCCAAGCACACCGATGAACGACTGAAACGTACACCTTTTACAGAGGTTCTTAACGTTGTTGTTGTTGTTAGTTATTGTTATTGCCGGAGTTAATGTTTGAAGCAAGTTAAGCAGAAGTTCTTAGGTGTACCCAATGTGCGGTGTAAGACTGAGCTTCGACCGGGTTGCCACAAACTTAATGATAATGTTCGGTCTTTAAAATTCGCCATCTTTTTCGAATGTGAAAGTACGAAACCAGCAGATTTGCTTCGCAGCTTGTATATTTCATACATAAACATATTTTTATATCCAACGCCAACACACGCACACACCCTCAGTCGGAAACAAACTCCATGGACTCCGACGACGGAAAACGCATGGCCACCAGGTGGAAATGGCAAACATTTCTCACATTTAAGCCGGAAAAACAATTCACAACTGATGCTAGGCGCAATCGCTTCCACCACTCGCTTCACCCCCAGCCTCTTGCTCAGCGGTTTCCCAGCACCATTTTGGCTATTTGATAAGGCAGAGTGTCGACGTTAAAGTGGTATAGGAAACGAGCTGGAACAATATACTACTAAAACCAAGTAAATGAGCAAACATACGTACCAACGCACACATACACTCACGCTGTTATACAGTGCAGCTCAGGTGTACGTATAAGGCAGTTTCTGCTCTCCAACTACAGCTACGTCGTCTACAGGAAAATGTCTTTTGGCCGTAAGGAAAAGACGTTTTTCGACTAACTACCGGTGTCACCACACACACATACATAGAGATATGTATGCCACCACATAAACCCATTCAGGAAACACCTTTATACATGGCCGTTTCACTTTACTGCCTGTTCAGTTGCGTCCCTTCCTCGCCCAGCTGTGTCGTCTGCTATACGCAGCTCATAAATTACGCTAGTTAGACTAATGTGTGTCGTAAAATAACGCCAGGCTGAGCAATCTGAGGTGGTTTCAAGCACAAATATGTGTGAGCACAAACACAAACATATAGCATCGCATTGGCTGGAATATGTTTGGGAACATTAATGGTGGCTGTTTAGGTCACCGGTAATAATGTGAATACGATTGAAGTCAGCGTGTGTATGGGCATGCGTAAGTGTTTTGACGCAAAGCAACATATAATCGGTATACATAAAAGGTATTTCGTTTGAAATATTAAAGCGCTTAGATTAAAATAATATTTTTGGCACATTTTTTAAGGTAACCAACTTTCAAGAATGCCTAAACAACTATATATAATATGTAATATATATATCATAAAGATCATATATATATATGATGATCCTTTATTCCATCCCAGAAATGCACTCGGTAGGGTTGACATTCCCTGCCGAGGACCCCGCTATTAGAAAATTGAACTCGATTTTGTATTTAAAATGAATTTCGATATCTTTTGGATTTTAGATGTTGGCGAATAACAGTACACAATGCTAACCACTCGGCTGCCATTTAATATTTGTGGTAAGCAATAACTTCAATCAAGACTTTATTTTTTATAATTCGGAGCAAAACTGATTTTCATAGATTATTCAAGGATGAAATATAGTCGGTGGTATTCACTGCAGGACATTTTATGGGTATATGTTATCTATTCTGCGTCAACGACTCCCTGTTAATTCAGTAAAGTTAATTGAAGTATTTAACAAGCGCGTATACTCAAAAGCCTACTTTTTCGCTGAGCTTCAAAATCAATGCCTTAAATGGAAACGAAAAAAATGCGACCTTCTGCCTTCAGCGGAGCTAATATTCAATAAAAGTCTTTAGAATCCGAAAATTCTACCCTCGAATTATCGGGCTTAATTTTACACTGAGGATACAGCAATGGCTTTTCGGCATAAATGCAAAATAACTAGCATAAAATCAGTGCTTCAAGATATAAAATAAATCATGAAAAATTCCATTGGAACCACGTTTGGATAACAATATATTCTTCATAACTTCATTCAGGAGTTGTGTATCGATCTAAGCTACCTGGTAGGTAATGTCAGCGCGAGCTAGCTAGCCGGATGAAGGGAATCTTATCGTTGGTACCTCGGAGTTATAGTCTATGGCATCCGGTTGGTTGAAAAATGTGAAGTTTATTTTGTAGCCGTGGGATTACCCACTGAATGCATCATCTGAAAGGGACCTGCTCTTTTTGATATTGCCAATTGTCACCAATATGAAACTATCGCCGTATTAAGTGGCTACGCTAACTGACCTAGGAAGCTTTTCATTTAATGAAATTGCAAGCTATCAGGCTTCAAAGGCATCTACAAATCCAATGAAACATTTAATCAAACCTATATACTGCCGCAAGAACTGTTATAAGGCTCGAGTATAGACATTTTTATGGAAACCATTCCATCAGAAATTCGGCAAGTTAGTAACAATTGGTTCATTGGTCACTGGCTATCAAAGAAAGTGAAGAACGTGTAAATTTGCAATAATAATATATAATTTGATTCAATTTGCAAACACAGCGCCCAAGAGAAATAATACCCTGAACAGCTCTAACGAGCACAACTCATCTTAACATCATTCTTCATCTCAATAATACAAAATAAAAATTTGGAGTCAAGAAATCGAAAGTACTTCTTAACGAGATCCAAACAATTGGAAATGTAAAAACAAATAGAAAATTTTTAAATCTGATGTTTTTTTCGTGTGTTTGCATACTTCCAGCTGCGTGCGAATAAACAACGATAAGAAGTATAGAATTTCAGTGGAATGGCATAGCAAATAAATACACAAAGTAAAGATTACTTACATATGTACATATACATATACATATATACCTATTCAATAACACAAATGGTCACAAATGCAAAAAATTGTCGACGCAGACTTCGAATGAATGAAAGCAAAATTAGCGATAAACAAGTCAAATAATAATGCGAGACGCTGGCTCAGCGTCATTCAATGCGCTGATAAGAAAACCAACTCAAACCGTAGCGACAGCACAGCTCACGAGTAAAGTGACATTTTCACAAACGACCCATTGGCCAGCGAGCGATTGAGTTTTGTGATTTAGTGTGTGCCTGCGAGTGACAAGAGACGGTGGCAGAGCATAATAAGAACCAAGCGGAAAAAAGGCACGAGAATTTGAAAATGTTTTTTCGCACAAAACAGTTTCTATTTTTGCTATTAGCAATAGCAACAACAACGTCAACTAGAGCGGCAATAATACGCACGCCACACGCCACCTCGAAAATTTCGCCGGAAATCATCAACGAACTAAAAGACTTTCTCGATCTAATACCCACAGCGACGGTGGACGAAATCGTCGCCAAGCACTACATAACCGACTCGAATTTCCGCGAAGTGCTCAAATATCTGCGCAGCACGCAATTTACGGCACTGGAGCAGCAAGCCCAACAAATACCGGAGGTTGTAGAGATTCTGGATTATTTGCATTTGCTTGTGCCTAATGCTACTGCCTTGCACAAACATCATCGGCAGCAGCAAGAGCAGGCCATATACGGCACTGTGAACTCGAGGTCATTCGATGTGCAGTTGTCGCAGGAACCGCAGCTCAATTTTGTGCTCTTGAATGAGCTGAACGAACACGAAGTATTGCGGACTGAGCCGGAGGAGGGGGAGAGTGTGTCAACGTCAGCGCCATCGCTGACTACTAGATTAACGGCGCAACCAGCACAGGCAGCCACCCCTCGCCACTTACGCACGTTTATCAGTTTCGTCGAAGAGCTGTTGAAGCATTTGCCGCACGACCAATACGTGCAACTGATTAATCAAAAGCGTCAGCAGAATCTGGCATTCGCACAATTTTATGCCGCGTTGCGCAGCGCTGAGCTGCGTCCGATGGTCGATGCGGCGTTGGTGAGTAACCGTCCGTCTGCTTAACTGCCTAACTGAGCTATAGGTTCCGTTCGGTTGCCTGACATATTGTAAATTGAAAAATGTTCGCTTCAATGCTGATTTCTCTTTGTTTTCTTTCTTCTTTTTCATCTCTCTTTCATCCCGCAGAAATCTTCTAATTTGACGACGATAATTAAAACACTGAGTTCGAATGGAGTCGATGTGGCGAGCATGGAGACCATAGCGTTTAAAGTGATTTCCTGGGGACCTGTACCAGTAGCGCTGCCGTAAAGTGCTTGCAAAGTCACAGTGTTGCATTTAATTGGAGCACAAAATATGGTTTTAATTTAAATGGATTTTGTAAAAGCTAAGGCTTTATCCTTGGCCAAAACAGAACTGGGTGAATTGACGAGCTTTGTTTTTTTTTTTTAAATTGCATGTAAACGTTCGGTGAATTATACATTTTATATTATATATATGTATTATAATTTTGATAATAAAGCTTGCGCTGAGTTTTTCCAAATAAATAAAATGCGTAAAAAATTGTGGACATCATCGCTCCCTTCTTCTTCTTCCTTCTTCAGCTCATTTTCATTTTCACTCCACCTGTCCACCTCTTCTGCACTTCAAGAGTGACCCGCTTAAATGCCTGAGGCAAAACGCTAAACTAAATTCAATTTGCACTCATTTGCATGACACTGCTTTCGCTTAACGGCATCTGTGGCGATGTCGACGTCGGCGACTAAAACGGTTGCGGTTGAGCCTGCATTACGTTTGTGGCCGCGCCTGTGTGTTTCAGTATTATGCAAATTGTATTGCGCACTTTTAGGCGCACAAGTGCAAGTAAAACTTGTAATTGTTTTTCTTCCACGCCCCATGCATGGGATGCGGGTGTGTAGTTACACAAGTCCGTACTGCATAGAATACTCGCGGCTTTCCTTCTTCCATGTTTTACATTTTGCATTCAACGGAATGGCAGATACTCAAGCAGCCACACCAAACACACACACAGGCCCACATCTTAAGCCACATGAAAAATGCGAAGAGAAGGGAAAGGGGAGTAACTTTTTTACAAAGCTAAAAGCGCAGCTAAAGACGCACAGCACACACAATGAGGGCGGAAGTTGCGGTGTGTGCTGTGCATAATCGCCCAATGGACAAGGCCACAAGTGTACTTGAGTGCTTCTTCAAAATGGAATGGAAATGAGTGTGAGGCAAGTGGAAAGCGGGCGCGGCAAGTAAATTGCGCTACAATCCGGGTGGCAGGAACAATTGCTGCTGTTTGCTTTGGGGTTTAGGAAAACAGCTGTCTGCGGCCCACTGAATTATATTTCCTTGTAAGTACATCAAATCTTCTGGGTGTACAAGTTGCTGCTACGGCGTAAAGCTCTCAAATTCTTGAGATATATGCCGTTACGCTTATGCAGCTCTAAAATAATGTTAACGGTACACATTCCAAATTTTACATATTCTTCTTTGGTGCATTATATACATTTTTGCATTTTGGGCTTACACCTCAGCGAGTTTTGAGAAATTAGAATTTCAAAAATACTATTTTCCTCCACAACTTGTAGGTTATTAGCACGTATAATACGTAGGAGCACACACAGTGGGAAAAGTACAAAATAATTCACACAAAATTTTGCGAAAACAATTTGTTAATTGTTTATTTAAATAACGTCGCACCCTTATGAAAAACACTGTTTTTGACAAGATTTTTACTACTTTCATGAACATCTTATATAATATTTTATCAAATCAACGAGGAATGACAAAACGCAAAGAAATTGGTAATAGCAATATTTTCCTAGTTGCAATCATTACAAAGTTCATTCATGATTGACATGATTGATGCTTAAATGGTGACGATCCTGAGGCTAACATTTCCTTTGCAGCTTGTCACTCCTTTTGAATTATGTGAAATCTAATCTTCGACTCCACAGAATATTGAATGGTTTATTGCACAATCATGGCTTTAAAGGTTATATTTTTATATGCTTCTCAGTAGATAGAATTCCACCACAGGTGGCTTTGTGGTTGTGGAGATGTTGCAATCTTGTTCGAAGAGGTCTTGTGGATGCTGAATGTACTAACGGTGTAGTTGAATCTGAAATCGTGTGCTAATTTTGCGGTGAAGTCTCAAATAAAATTCTTCACGTCGTGCATTTGGCGGCGGTGCAAATTAGACTAGGGTTAAAGAGCTTGGCTTGGATATGAATTGTAGCTTCGTTTGAAGAAATGAATCAGGAGAGACGCCTCTGACTTGCTAACAGGTCGCATTCCAGTTCTTTGATGTACACCCCACAGCCGTAGCAGTTACCATTGTTTGCTTAATTGGTGCAACCATGAGCTAATGTCACGGAACCTAAACTCAGCAAACGTTTGACAGTTTCAGTTGAAACCCTAAGAAATATCTCCGGAGCTGAAATTCTATAGAAGACTAAGGAGGATGGGGTAGGTAATTATTGTAAAGCGCCACCAAATCATCTCTTTAGTTACAGGTGAGGGGAATGTGTAGGTTTTTATTTTAAATGTAAAGATGCACATCACTGCGTTATGCTACACCTTCGGTGATCATCCAGAATTTTTTGAGCTACTAAAGAATTTGTAAGTTGGAAGATTTGTCTTTGTGCTAAATGAATAATCAAATATGTGTGAATAAAAATAGAAATTTTTGTTTAATTCTATCGTTTAAATTGATACAATAATTTTGTACTATCTGTACATATCTGTAATGGTTCCTTTTATCCTTCACTGATACGCTCCACTGTGCAAGGAATGTGTTTAGCTACGCCAAGTCAATTTACTCGCATACTAAGTCCTGCCAGCATTTATGCTACAGCTGAAGTCTTCAGTTGCCATATGTGTTTAAATATATCTGTGTCCGGCTGACTATTGCTGCTGCACGCAGCATCAAGACGCCATACCAAAGTACATTGTCGTGGCGGTTATGGCCGTTGCCCATGCTGATGCCTTAACGTGTAGAACAAATCACAAATTTGTAGTGTCGAGCTAAATACAAGCAATCAGAAATGTATATACATATATATATACGCGTATTTGTTTATGAATTGGTGCATATAGGAGTTTATGAGTGTAAGTGTGTATGGGTTCGCATAGTACTACTGTCACACGGTCACATAATGAAGCCATATAAAACGACTCGTTGTGGGTGGGCTGCTTAAGAGCATATGTACTCATGCGTTTGTATGTGTTGCTACAATTTCACACTGCGCTACGTGTAAAAATATGCGAATGACTTCATTTTACATTCCAACGATTGCTATTGCCGAGACTGTCGGCATGCCTTAACACAAACTCACCATTTTATATAAGTGTTTGCTGTGCTACTATAACATTAATACATCTACACTCGTACGTACAACGCGCTTCCAAACACATTCGCTGACAAACACATGTAGCATTTTCATTTTTTTACAGCAACGCTTATACTTTTTATGGTCTTCTTGCAGGTTGATATGAGTACACTCATATGTATGTATGTAGAATGTTCATAATAAATTGTTCTGTACATTTACATCCACATACGAATATATGCAATCACACGTAAGGATAATTCCTTCCTGCGTCTAGGGAATCCTGTCATCAACAGAAGCTGATGAGCAAAAGCGCTGATAACTATTCGGTGTACAGGCTCCCTGCAATTCACTTGCCTCGTCTCGGCTTCTGCCTGACTGTCCGCATGCTTATAGTTTTTTCTTTTCAAATTTCTCTTAGTTACTTTGTGGCTTTGCAAATTATGCAAACTATTTGTGTATTCAATGTGTTGGCGGTTTTTAGTGTCTTTTTTACTTTTTCGCTCACATCAACTAATGACTTATTCCTTTGAGGACTGTGTCGTCTGAGAACTCAATGTATATGCGTGTGTGTGTGTGTGGGTGTGTATGCATGACTGAGTTTTGCGCATCCTTTTCGGTTTAACACTTGAATTTGTGTCACGTGCGCTGTGCGTCGACGTGTTGATAGAAAGCTGCATTTCCCCCTCAATAAAATTTTTAAGGAATCATAAAAAAAATCGCTAAAATTTAAAAATGTGTCTTGTGGGTAAAGAATTGACCTATTTAAGGATTTTAATTTTTTCCTTTACACAATTTCATTTAGTTTTCTACTGGAGTTTATTTAAATTTAAAATTTAAAATATAAGTAATTAATATCCAAAAATTTTAGCGGTTAGTCTCTTAAGGAGAACTATTCTACGAGTGGTTAGAATTGCGCGCTGTCACTTAGCAGGCCAAGGTTCGATTGCAGGGCTGACCAAAAACTATAGGAACTTAATTTAAATAAAAAAATTTAGTTAATTTTTCTAATAAAAGCCCTTCATTAAAACCATCAGCCGTTCGGCTTAGAAGATAAAAAACTATACCCTGCAGCGCTTCACATACATACGGTTCATACGGAATTAATGTCTGCAAACTTGTAAATAGTGGAAATAATTTCAGCTTAGTTTTTTTTTTTACTAAATACCTGTGGTTATACAAAATCTTGGGTTTAACCATCGATCAAGCAAAAATCTAAGAAAGGTGAAGGTCAATCATATAGCTTGCAATACATAAGTGTCCATGTGCAGAGCAACCCCTATCTAGACTATAGAATGCCATAGATTAACCCTGAGCCTTGTTGATAGTTTTGACTACAAGTCATCTGCCGTTGCATAGGTTCGGCTAATTAAACACAATGATTCAAAAATTCTGTTGGACAATTGACTGCCTCATCTGCTTCTACAACGGTGTCTATTGAATCTATGTGACGGATTCGCTTTCAATGCTGCACTGAATAATGTGCTTGAGATTGTTGACATCTTAGTCAGCCATCTAAGATCTCTATGATTGGTTTGGATATTTGGGAATACTCCGTTAATTAGTTCTTATTTAATTAATTAATTACAGTAATTACAGAAGTTATCGGATAATGTAATCCGTCCGGCCTATTGATGCCAGTAACTGGCGTGAACGCTTGACACCCAATTGCGAGTTTTATGAGATGTGGATCTTTACAAATTGATTTATCCACTTCTTTGTATATATGGGTAATTTCTTCGCTGCACAAAATCTTTCATAAAATGTTAAAATAGGAAAAACTCGAAGTACGTCTCACGCACCATTCAGACCTGGGCTTCGCACTCAAGTCAAACCAGCATTTCCGTAAAACAAGGAACTCAAAGTTAATCGAGCCAAAAATAGGTTCCATTCGCCGTAAAAGAAAAATCTAATAGGGTTGCTAGTACTCTGAGCAAAACGTTACCAATATATGTATCGAGCTTTTAGGTAATCGAACCATAAAAAAGATAATTTCGAATAGGTCAGTCCCTGGTCCACGACCCTTAAAATTTTTATCAACCATTCCAGGAATCATAAAAACAATCTGAAAAAATTTAATATATAATATAATATATAATTTTTTCCATTGAAGCATATCCTCTGCCACATTTTTTATATTCGATTTAATTAAAAAATA